GCCCAGGGAAAGAATCACCATCCCTGGAAGTATTTAAAAGGCGTGTAGGTGAGGCGCTTAGGGACATGGTTTAGTGGGCATGGTGGTGTTGGGTTAATGGTTGGACTTGATGATCTTAGAGGTCTTTTCCAACCTTAATGATTCTATGATTCTATGATAATAGCTGTTCCTGCACTGTGGAAGAATAGAATCCTGAGTGATTGCATTTTCTTCCACAATCACGTCCCTAAATCTTTTTTTCTTTCTGTTTTTTTAATTGGGTTTTGAAATCAGTCTAATGTTTAAATAAGCAGAGCTCTCTTACTGTGAAAGTCACTCGTATGCTAAAATAATGGGTTTAGATCTTCCTTTCTAAAACTGAAAATTTACTGGCTTTGGTATCCAATCCAGTTGTCCATCCTTCTGTTAAACATAACATAAGACTTAGAAAATAACATAATACAGAGAAAAATAATTTTTCATTTTTCTCACTGATAGAAAGTCTGGATTTTGGGGTCAGACCTGGTATCGGTTACTTATTTTGGTAAGCATGTCTTTGTTGATCGTTTGTGATAAACAAACTTCTGAAAAGTCTTCCTGATGGTCTTGGAGAATATTTGTATCAAATTATGAATGAGCATGCGCTTACCACAATAAATAATGCTTGTTCTCTGCCAAGGAAGTTTCTTTTTACTTCTTTAGATGCCACTGGGTTCTGTACCTGCAGAGAATGGCTGAACTGGGTGAAACCTGATGGTGGTGGTGAGAGGCTGGTGCTGATGAGTTAAAATACAGTTGCTGAAAGCATCAGGCCACTGTTAAGCTTCCTGGAGCTGAGTCATCACTGAACAGAATGTAGTACTGAAGAATTCTGAGTCAAGAGTTTATTTTGAACAGGAAAGTAGTATTTTATAGCCCTATAAGAGTGGCAAAGCTCTGGGGAAGTTAGGAAAAAACACAGAGACAGGCTAAAAAGCATTTTTTGCATATCTGCTGTGAAAGAGTGCAACCAGAAAAGAACAGAAGGTAGTTTTGTTTCTTAAGAGGGCTCATGCTGTAGTCCTTAATATTTTTCATAGTTTTCATTTAACTGGGGCAGAGGGGCCACTGTGGAACTTACAGAAATATGAGTAGTATTTCATTCCACCTAAAAATAAATACATGAATAGTATATTTTAAATAGCAATAAAAATGCTTAAAAGCTTGTAATTGCTGTAAGGCTGAAGAGCTGTGTTACTGAAGAACTGATACTCTTTTTAACAGAAGAGCCCACAGTTCAAATGTAGCACAAAGCTTTTAAAGTTGCTTAAAGACCCAGAATTGACTTCTGGCAAAACAATTACACTTGGCTGAGCAGAAAAGGTCATGCAGTTGAAAATGAGGTATTCTTGGAGAGAGCGTGGGGCTGCTCTGGCATTATGGCCATGAGGGACAAGAGGCCTGAGGCAGGAAAGTCCATACAGCTCAAAGACAGATTTTGCAAAACTGCAACATACGGGGCAGCAGCGTCTGTGGTAAGCAAAATTTTGCCAGACATTTGGAAGAACTGGGAAAAAAATGTGCACAGCATGGATGAAAAGGCTATGATAACATCATCATTAGCTCAGAGGAATTCCTCACGGGAACAGTGGACAGTATTTTAGCAAATAAGTTAATGAACTAGACCATAAGAACACTAGATAATGCCATGCAGAGTCACAGCAGCGGTCTGTCTAGGCCAGTGATCTTTCTCCAGCAGTAGCAGTAGGAGATGCTGTTTGGGGAGAGCATGAGAACCTGGCTGCTTTCTGTGGTCCATTCCCTCTTTAGTTCCTCAGCATTCACAGTTTTGTACTGGGGGTGTCAAAAGGCCTATCCCTTCCCTTTTACTGCCCATTTTTGGCATCGTTTTGTATCATGTTGTAAGATCTACCTCCTGCAATCTAATAGCCTGAAAGCAGTGAGATATTTGTTGATTTTTTTATTTTATTCTATGTATATGTGCCCCTTCTATGAAAAGAAAGCAATAATTATCACTGAGAGCAAAACTGCTTTTAGAAAGGTTATAAATGGGGTAAGATCGAGGATAAATATTGGTGATTCAGCCTCTGCTGATAAAGTGCTAAACATGTGAGCAAAGAACAAAGTAGGAGATACACCATTTGTAGTAGTACTAAAAAGAAAAGTACCCATTGTTGAAACAAACGTTTTGGTTTCATCAGGGTCTGTGCTCAGTGGGGCTGTCTTGGGCTTATAGAGCTGGGGAAGAGTTTTGGAGATGGCTTTTAAGAGGTAGGAGGAGAGCAGAAATTGTCATGCCATTCTTTATTTTCCTTTAAAAATACCAGTTATTTGGCAGCAGGGACTGATAGAGGAGATCTGAAAATGCATTGCTCTGGGAATCTTGAAGCAAGTGGAACAGCCAACAAGGTGACCACACTTGGCAATGGTGGGAGTATTGGAGTTACAAAACCCCTGAATTAATATAATGGAAAGGGATGCTTTCCGCTACCTGAGAAGAAGATTGACTCTGGGAGGGCTGGGTGGTGCCAGACATTTTTCTCTATGGTTTCAGGCAGGTTCTGGCAAGAGCTGTTGAGAAGGCAAAGCATGTGTGTGTGCATATATACTCGCTGATTAATGCTCCTTCCTCAAGCTACCATGTAAAATTGTGCGTGGCATCTGAGGTGTTCCACAGGAAGATAGAACATATTTGTCATGGTACAAAGAGCACTATAGTTTATGTGAATAGTTTATGTGTGTGTGCCTTTTTTATCTTGGGAAAAGAACAGTATAAGAATATAGCCAGGAACTGTGGACATTTCCAGGAGAAGACAACAAACTTAGCACTGTTGAACAACAAAACGTATTAACTTTTTATGTAGTTTTTATAGGGAGATCAGAAGAAAGTTATAACTAACTCCCTATAACTTCAAGAAGAGGACCTCTCACTTTTATATAGATCCTCATTGCAAAGTTGTGCCTTGCTGCCCAAATCACTGAGAACACTTGTGCAGAAGTGCCTAGTGGGCACAAGGTGCAATAGAAGAAAAGCATTTGAGAAAATCAAATTAAAGGTCCTCCTCATTAAAGTTTTTACTGCTTATAAATAGAAAAATACATTGTCCACTGGCATTTACAAGAATGGGTGTTGGCACTGTCCTTTTTTGTGTGACCGTATTGCTTTCCACGTATGGTGGGTATGAACAGGAGCTGCATGTAGAGATGCGTAAGTAGAGGCCATAGCTTTGGCTCTGATAAAAGCTGTTTTTTTTCATGGAAAATCTGTATTAGCTGTAAGTAACTTATTACTGTGGCCAAAGGGCCCTGGCAACTAACTTCTTACATGAGTGAAGATAATTTGTTATAAGAAGGAAAATAACCTCTGTGTGATGTAGGAATGTAATGTGGAGTTTTAAAGCACGAGTATTTTGAGTGTTTGGCAGAATCACAAAGTCCAGAGCTTGATTATGCATCTGTTTCTAAAGCATCAATATCTGGAAGTCTCAGACAACATATGGACTGTTATTTTTGAGAACTGCTATTGGGATTGAGACCTGCGTAAGACAGTTAAGCCTCTTGGCCCAGGGTGTGCAGAAAGCCTATTTCTAGCCCTCGTTGTAGGGTAAGAGATTATTGATGATAGGATGCT